TACACATATGTTACTATTTTATAAATTACTTAATAAAGATATAAGCAAGACTTCACCTTAAAAAAAAAAAAAAAAAACAACAACTATATTTATTATTAAATTATCTACATTTTTTTTAGTGATTTGTTTGAACTCTTCAGTCTGATTTTTACTTAATAGAGAATTAGAACATAACATGGTATAGTTTTTTAAGTATGTTCTGCTAGTTTTTATTGTATATATTTTTTTTTTAGCAATGTATACATCTTTAAAATTTTGTATTATTATCTATTATTTCTATCCAATTATCCTTAGTATTATACATATTACCAGCTACTACTATTTCATTATTATTAGATATTAAGAAACTAGAAGTGTAATTATTAGAAGTACTAGAAGTGAAATCATTAGAAATACTAAAAATAGAATTATTAAGAGTACTAGAAATAGAATCATTAGAAATACTAGAAATGGAATTATTAGAAGTACTAAAAGTGAAATTATTAGAAATATTAGAAGCAGAATTATTAGAAGTACTAGAAGTAAAGTCATTAGAAATACTAAAAGCAAAATTATTAAGAATTAAATTTTCTATAATGAAATATAAAAAAAAGTAATATAAAAGATGATAAAAAAGAATAGGTGTGGGTCCTATAGCTTAATAGTTAAGCTCTCATACTTTTATAGTCAAGGTTAATAGTTCAAGTCTGACTAAAGGCGAAATTGAAAGATTTTAGCTTTTGTAATCCATAAGGAGCCTATAATTAAACATGAAGCTCTGTAGTCAAGTTCAAGTACAGTACATAACAGAAAAAAGAATTTTTGAAAGAAAACTAACTCTGCAGAGTGTGGGCACTATGTGTGACAATGGCATCACAGAAGGTTCTGTTATAAAAAGATTTGTGCATGTAAGTCCTCTGAAGACAGAACAGTACCAACATCTCCACATTCAACTTGTAGAATACTTGATTAGGAAAGTAATATCAAGGTAACATGAACTGAAATAATGTGCATTCATAGAAGATTTATAACAAAGGATTAGCCTTATCAAGATTAGAAACATCTCTGGCACCATAGAATGTCTAAGAATAGAAAGTAGCCATCTGTATAGAAAAGTTGTAGCCTGTCCTGTATGTCTAAAGGTTTCAAACCAGAGTTCTAGTCACATCTATATAGAAGCCTATGGCAAAACAAATAGAACATATCAATATAAGTACTGTATCAATCATGGTTGAGATACCTAAATTAAAAGTTAAAACCTTTAGAACTTTGTGTTGGTAGTAGAAACACTAGTTTATGACTAGAAGAGAATATGTATCTATTTTCAAAATAAAGTTCCATTTATACTATAAAAAGAAGTACTTAAGAAGCAGGTTAGATGCACAATCTATTGGACATGATGCTAAGACCAAGAAGGGTTGCAAATCAGCAACAGTAGCAGAGACCTGGCTTGAGATACATGCTACTAGTACCTGAATTGGGAAGTTAGTAGTAGTAGCAGAAACCTGGCTTAAGATACATACTAGAGAGGCATCCTTTGGGCAAACCAAAGATGGTAGCTCAAAAGAAGTGAATAACCTGGTGGACCAATTTGGGAGTTGTTAAAATAGGTTGTAAAACATGAAAGAAATATGCAAGTTATCTAATATAATTAGTAGTAAAACAAAAATCCAGGTTAGGTGTGAGTAGAACACAATACAGAACTCTGGTAGGTTTAGGTCACAGATAAAAATGTTTGAATCTTATATCTAAATAAATATATAGTGATAGATAATGTATAAAATAAATTTGTACTAGCTATGACAAATATACTAATAAAGACTAGAGGGTATAACCTTATCTTAATACCAAAAAAAAAAAAAAAAAGATAGAAAAGTACTGTAAAATAAGAATATAGAAAAAGTAATATAGTACAAAAAGACAAAGAAAGCACTTTAAGATAGAAAAAGTAATGTAAGTCAAGAAGTACTATAAAGTAAGATAGAAAAGGTAATATAAATTAAGAAGAAAGAGAAAACACTATAAGATAAGAAAACAATGTAGTATAAGAAGACAGAAAGAAAGCACTATAAAATAAAAAAATAATGTAATACAAGAAGACAAAGAGAAAGCAATATAAAATAAGATATAAAAGATGATATAAGTCAAAAAGACAAAGAGAAAGATAAAATAAAAAAGGTAATGTAAATCAAGAAGACAGAAAAAGCATTGTAAGATAAAATAGAAAGGCAATATATATCAAAAGACAGAGAAAACATTTGATATTTATATTTAAATGAGCTTTATTTAGCATTTGGCTCTAACATTTATCTAATAAATACTAATCTAACACAATTACTTACTGAGTATTTGAGTGATAAAAAGGAAAAATCTCACTCATTGAGTAAGATGATTTATAGGTTTTTTCTTTTCATCACTCATTTTACATTATTATTTTTAATATTTAATACATACTTATTTTAAGTGTATTACTAGAGATTGTGCCATTTCACATATATTAGTGCAAGGTGCTTAATTGTTATATAATTAATAATATATAAATTACAATAAATATTAATAATTATCAAGTTAAAATATGTATTGATTAGCACTTGCATTGATAAGTGCATAATTGTATTATAGTGTTTAGACTTTAATAAATTATAAATTAAACTTAAAGAATACTTACATAATTTAATTGATTTAATTTATTTTAAATATTAAAGATAAATGATTGTTAAGATGTATTATTCTTATTATTAATAAATATTACTTCAAATTTTATTCAAAAAAGCTAATAAGTTTGATCATATTTTTAAGAGCACTTTCAAGAATAAATATGGTCCTTTAATAGTAGAATGTCTTATAAATTACTTACAATCTGTCTCATAAAACACAAAAAATAATTGTAATTATATACAGAGTTAATTGTATACCAAAAATTAGAATGTATGTGAAATAAGAGATACAAACTAAAAAGAAAATCTTCTAAATATTAATCATAAAATAATGATTAGTTAATAATATTAAAAGACTGTCTTCTGCTTTATTCATTTCTAGTATAATTATTAAACAATTAAAAATATTAATTTAGAGAATACCTATTTCTACTATAGAAATTTACTATTTTCACTATGCTTTTCACATGACTTCAGCTATAAAGGTCTGATCTGATGAATAATATATTTAAATATTCATTAAATATTTGAATATTCGAATAAATAAATTTTTATTAAATTATATATTCAAATATTGAATTTATTCATCAAATAATTCATTGAATATTCAGTAAATATATATAATTAAAATTTATTTAATTGATCAATTAAAATGCAAAATTTAATATAATAGTTTTAATATATTTGTTT